TAGTACGATTTTGCTAAGCTACGAAGCCGCACCGCTTGATGGATTGTTGGAGCATTACAGCTACTGTAGTCAGGAGCTTCACGGAGTGATACGTACTGTGCTTCAACATAATATTACCGTATTGTGTGTGTATAACCTGTTTTTAAGTTTTGTGGGTATTATACATGGTTATGCTGAGGATATGTCGGCCAATTTCCACTGGAAACGCCTTTTGGTTAAACTGTCAGCAAGGAATTTGCATTTGCACTCTTGAATTTTTATATAACTTTAATGGACATAAAAAAACAGCTGCTTGTTTTAGTGAAAATACATTGATGGTTTTTGGGGTTTTTTTGCACTAATAAAGTTGTGGAGTTGTAAAGTATTTTGTCTAGTGTCAATTATATTGTCAGTTATATCGTTATCGCAAATTTTCAAATGTATATCGTGATAAATATTTTTGGTCATATCGCCCTGCTCTAATTGGATAGTTCTCATGTATTTTATAATGTATAAATGCTACTTCTTGCAATATATCTCCCTATTTATGTATTTCTAAACAAGTGAAAGTCATCCCAGTTTTTTAATTTAATTCTGTAATTTGTTAATAGCTTTTAAATGTACAGTAGTCCTAGCTTTGCATTTATTCATAGAAAACAATAACTTTCAAAAGAAAAATGAACTGGGCTGAAATAGAATATTAATTAAACAGTAAATACAAGAGCAGAGCGGTAGACAGCAAGTCCGTAACAATAACTATAGAAAAGCATACAAAAATTAGCAAATCCTGAAATCAAAACTACTTTCACCTACTACTTAACTCACAGCAGGCAGCTCCACATGTTTGATGTGACTTGTGTGCCTACGCACCAAAAAAAGCCATAAACAACTACACTTATTACTAAAACAATTTAAAAAAATGTAAAAGCAATGTAGATTTAGTTCACATAAAGACGCTAGTTTTAAACAGTCTCGTACCAACTAGTTGTTACAAGAAGCTAGTAAGGACTTGAAAACAAATCTTTTGATTTATGAATCGCTGGTCCAATCTAATCTGACTGAAATGACATGAAAGAAGAGGATTATTGGCTACTAAAAGAGTGGCAACCAGTGTGTAACAGGAATTATATGTATACAGACATCAGAGAAAACCTTTTATTAGAAGCTGAACTCAGGCCTGGTCCCAAAGAGAGTCCAAGAAGACAGAATGATTAACTTCATTAAACACAAGGTTAAGTCTAAAGGACTAAGACCAGTGATGAGTTTGGCTGATAGTGCTGAACAAATCTGTCTTGAAATTTTTGTTCTGGGTGGAATGAACATTCTCACTTTTGTAATGATCTCTGTCTGCCTGAAATGGTTGTCTGTCTAAAACAGACACAGATTACAGTACGGGGCACATTCTTTTGTAAAAATTTGAAACGGGGCAGAAATTATTAAAGTCATCAGGGTCAAGTGTTAGTCCTTTCAGAATGGGTTCAATAGCAGCAAGTTCTTTGTATTACAAAGACACTGACTCCATTAAAATTGTCCTTCAGGTATCTGATAGGAAGAATATTCTGGGGACAGGATGAAGTTTTCATTTCCTGAATAATTTCAGACAACACTGCAGAGAGGGTGAACTTATCTAGAGAAAATGAGTGTGACATGCTGGCTGTAATTTGTTTTGAGGGTGAACTGATTTGATGTTTGATATCAGAGGTTCAGTGTGGAGAACTTTGTGCTGGTTTTAGTCACAATATTAAAAAGATTTACTCATCCCCTTTTTCACAACTTTAACCAGCAGTCGTAACAATGTGTCACTCCACAGTTTCGTCATTGTTCCACTGTAGTTGAATGAAACCATTAATGATGTTACTTTGAAACTATGTTAAAGTCTTTCAAGCAACTATATTTGCAATGTTTCCCTATCGTGCCATTCAGTGCTGTGTAGTTGGAGAAAGAGCATACAACACTATACTGAGTATAAACACAGCCCATAAAACTTTATGGCACCTTTTATAATCACTGCACCAGTTGTAACAGCCATTCAGAGGACAGAGAGCAGCAGGGCCCTATTTAAAACCCCAGTCCAAAGACCAGAGACCCACTAGAGTGCTTTCAGGTAACATTTTAATCTTACCTGAAAGCAACAAGCTGAAATTTGATTTGGAGCCCGCAAAAGTATAAACAACAAAAATGAACATTGCAATGACTTGACCACATCTCATGAGATCTGAGCCTCAGACTGTATAAAAAAAGATGGCCTTAGTCACCATTTTTAGCACCTCGAGTTTTGTATTTTTGGCCGTTTTGTTTTTTCTTGAAGTCAAACAATAAAATATCTAGATAAAACTAGGGAATTGATTGACATTGCTAATGCAAGCACTGGATGATTGTTTTCAACAGTAAGGGCTGTAATTTACTTTAATATCAAACCTTATGCAGTGAAAACTTACAAAAAGTATACGCAACGCACCAGCACTACCTTGAGCCTCAATATGAAATTTTAAATGGGTGAGTAGACGTCACCTGTACAAAGCTTCTTCTTGGTTACAGGTTTTCTGGATATAATGTTAAATGGAATCCAAGGGATACAGGATTTTTATGAACAATACCAATATTTCTGTCATTATCAGCTGATATTTTTCCTTTCAGACCTACAAAACATAAATAGATGTCCCCAATATTTGTTATGTGTAGTTATTTGGTCCTTTGTGTTCTGCATGATTCTGCTCTGATGAGCTGGTGGTTAAGTCCAAGAAAACTCAACAGCCAGGCAGCACATGGTCGTGGTGTTCCAGACACACAGAAAGTGAATGAATTCTTTAACCACCTAGGACCTGGCGTCCACATATGTGGACATCACATTTTGGTAAATGGCCTGTATTTATATAGCGCTTTACTAGTCCCTAAGGACCCCAAAGCGCTTTACATATCCAGTCATCCACCCATTCACACACACATTCACACACTGGTGATGGCAAGCTACATTGTAGCCACAGCCACCCTGGGGAGCACTGACAGAGGCGAGGCTGCTGGACACTGGCGCCACCGGGCCCTCTGACCACCACCAGTAGGCAACGGGTGAAGTGTCTTGCCCAAGGACACAACAACCGAGACTGTCCAAGCCGGGGCTCGAACCGGCAACCTTCCGATTACAAGGCGAACTCCCAACTCTTGAGCCACGATCGCCCCATGGGTTATTTAGACCAAAATACTCAATTTTGCTCTACAAGGGCCTGATATCCACTTATGAGGACATTATACTGCTACTGTTCTATCAAAATTTTAAACGAATATCCTCATATGTGGCTCTTATTTTTCTTAAAAACAAAAATAAGGTAAAATAAAATAATAATCTGGTAATTCTTTGTTTTTATATTCATCGGGCCCCAATATGCCCAAATATCAAAGAGAAATTAAAAATGCATGCTGTGGAAGAGTTCGGGTCCTAGGAGGTTATGGTCAAATGCTCAGAGGTGAATAGTTTTACTCTAAAGCCATGAAAGACAGAAGCATGATTTTAGCAGTGTCAGTATCAGCATGTTAATGCTGTTGTGATTCATAAATATTTGTGACATTGGGGGCAAAGTATTGTTTTGTAACTTTTGGATAATAAAGTAAATGTACTTAAATTTCTTCACTGCCCTGTGGATGGTTCCACTGACTCAAAGTAAAGATGACTGCTGTAGGAGGAGCAAGTGAAAGGGCAACAGACCCTTTGACTTTTTGTTTGATCAAACCTGCAGCACAACAGGCGATAATGGTTTCATCAGCCCATTGTCAGCACTCTGGAGCTCAGTGCCTCTCAATATGTCTCTGTGCACTCACATGCTCATTCAATTCTCATTTGAATATGCCCACGCAGTTTCTCTGAATTGACTGTCAGTGTCACAGAGACTCGAAAACTTTACCCTCCCACTTCATTCTCACACACACACACACACACACACACTTCTGCAAAATTGCAGAGATTTGTTCTTAGTAGAGCAGCTAATCTATCTAAAAGCCCCTATTTCCTATGCAGAGACCCACCCCCCTCTGCAGAAACCTCCCCAACTTCCTGTGTTTTACATTTGACCCCTGGAACAACGGTGTGTCTTGGTGACATTCAGAGCGCCCTTGTGTTGTGTGACAAGCAGAATGATCAGTGAGACAGAGGAGCTGAAGTGCTGTAGTTGCGTCTACGTGTTTGTTTTGTCTCATAAACTCCAGGCACGTCTGGCCTCTGCTTGCATAATGCTACAGTAGGGCACCTCTTTCTACCCCACGGCAACAGTTGCTAGGGTTACCGACAGGTCGGCCACTATGGTGATGAGGATAAATGAGCTCAGGGCTTCCATCAGCCCTCGGGTCACATTCCCCCTGCCTTTCTTTATGTCTCTCTTTCTCTCTCACACACACATGTTGCGCTGCGTCCAGTCCTGTGAATGTAAATACCTGCACTCAAGCACACAACTAAACACACACATGCTTACACACCCCGTGGTAGTGCACCCTTCCACTCAGCTGTAAGTTTCCTCTCAGCCAGACCTCTGTAGTGTTTTTGGTTTATCTCTGCAAAGCACAGGGTTGCTAGTTTGACTTCCGCTCGTCAAACCGTGCCTGCTGCGTCCGCCTGTCAGTTAAGAGCTGTGAGTTCTGAGCATGCCGCCAATCCATCATTATAATGATCATCTGCTCTGACATCTCATACATCACATCCCCCGCACTCATTAAATATACTGTAGTCGCTCCTTTAGTCATTCATCCCATTTCTGTCCATCTGTCTCGAGACAGCGGCGCAGTACAACACTTATGATGTGATGCATGGGCGATTATGTGTCATTTAGCCTTCTGTGCACAGATGTAGTGAAGGGGGCGCACTTAAAAAGTACAAGTGAATATTTATGTAGGTAATAACCCACCGAGGTCCATTGTTTGTCACCCATTCGTTTACTTTTGTTTGCCTGTGTATTTGTGGCATACAGACTGTACAAAGTACACTGGTTAGCTTTATTTTCTGTACTGACTGTTGTTCTGTTGCTTCTCATCTACAGGATGATGGAGATGTGGAAGATGACATGACCATTAGAGAGGTAAGATGCACAACCAGTCCGAGCAATGAGAGCGTAAGAGATCAGCGTGTTGTTTTGGCGAATTAAAAAATGGAGGCACTGCAAAATTTTTCACTTCATTAGGGGTACTACACAGCCAGTGAAAACACAGGAGGAGGTTTGTCAAGATGGGAAAATAGTCCCTGGTTATGTCATAGTGATATCATCAGGTTATCTCATCTTGCCTGCATAGGCTCCCTGAATTTTAAAGGTAGCGTGTTATTCTTTCCCTCATTTCCTGCCTGATATATACCATTCTAATAATGGGTATTCACATTTACCATGGCCAAAGTTTTTATAAATGAGGTCAGTATATGTACAAGTAGTCCCTGTGGGCCCAAAGCTCAGCCTTCATACTGCTCTAAATGCTGTTTCAAACTCTTGGGTCTTTATGATGTCATTGAGAGGGGCTATTCCTATTATCTCCTCAGATATAGTCTTAGATGCAAAGTGTAGCCAATCAGGAGAAAGTTGGCTTAAAGGGAGAGAAGCTTTGAAAGTGATTCATGCAGAGCAATAGCATCAGAGAATAAAATAATAAGGTTAGAAATGAATATATTAGGTCCTCTTTAAAGATGCTGGTGGTCACAGGATGGTTTAAAAGCTCTTTCAGAATAAACCTAAAAGTCATCTGTGAAAAAAAAAAAGTAAGTATTATCAAAATTAGCATTAAATAGTCTTTAATAATGATGATAGAATTAATTCTAAGTGAAGTAAAGGAAAGGCATTTTATTCCAACTCCGTCCAAATCCCATTCCAATACCAAAGCACCCAGTTAATTTAGCTCTTAAGTACTGTCGAATGAGTCACCAAAATGTATCAAAGTCAGAACTAGTGCCGTCTCTGTTACTTTTATTTGCAGTAAGTTATATTTGGAGGCCTGCATATGTTCTGCGACCTCACCACCCTTCCGTGTGGATACATAAAAACCTGACGAGCAGCAAGACCAATAACACACCAGAGCAAGATTTAACATTGATAAATGTTTAAATAAACAGATTTAACATTTATCAATTCAGAAATGACATGCAAAAGAGAAGCTGGGCTGAAGGTGGGTTTCAAAGCAGCTTGCACTTGCACAACACCTATGGGCAGGTTAACTTTTAGGAGCGTGGCTCTTACAAGCTAGCCAATCAGACAAGTTGAAGACTGTAACGTAAGCCATCAGACAATTTCAACCCACCTTGAGATTAGCTAGTTAATCTCACCATGCTATGTTGTTTTCAGTTTGAAAGCGGTTCAGTTTTCTGCCACACTTGGACATTGTACTGTTTAGCATAATGTTTTGGGGTTTTTTTTTTTAAACTATTTTCAGGGGAGGAATAACCTTTAGTGATGCGAGGACACGTGAGATTTTAGACTCAGTAAACTACAGTATGTTTTTAATGAAGATGCTGTGGTATAACTTCGGCTATAACTACACAGACAGCACTGAATCTGTTGAGCTGTCAAGTGCATTTAGTTTTGTTGGTCTTAGAAATCTATGTTTTTCTGACTGCAACTTCAGCCTCCACTTTGGTGACATCACAGCCTGACAGTCTTGGCTTTCTAGCTTTTCTCAATATCCCCAGATGGGCCTATTACCCTGGAGTCTTATATTTTTGGATATGACATCATTCATAATTCATCCATCAACAGCACCTCTCATTTCCTCTCTGTCAGCCACACATTCCTCACACTTTGCCTCTCCAGACCTTCCCCAACTTATCGTTCACCTCTCCTACATCTGCCATGTCACTGCTTCTTCTGTACGTCTCCCTTCCTTTTTCGCCTCTCACCTTTCCCTTCATCTGGTGTTGTAGGCCTCGTTATGATTTATAGAGTCATTCATTGTGGTGCCTGGTCCATCGATTGTCTGTTAGAGGAATGTGATTTGTCAGGAAGGATTATTTTACACTTTGCCTTCTGATTAGTGACTGACAATGCATATAAAGACATTACACTGTACACTTTAGCCTGTCACTCACATATAGATAGTCAAAGTTAATTGTTAATTAAAAACAAGCCTGTGTCATCTGAACTTAACATAATAAAGTTCACTAAAGTTCATTAACTGATCAGTAGTGTACAGGCTGGTGAAAATCATATAGTGCTGCAAACTTTCACTGATCCTCTATGTGACTTTCAGATCGCAGAGTGGGAAGAGAGGCAGCTTGATGAGCAGGTCAACTTCAACAACTGCAAGATCGACCCTGCCCCGTTCCAGCTGGTGGAGCGCACGTCACTGCATAAGGTCTGATTTGTAGATATAACTGTGTTCAGCCTCTGTGTGGAACTAATATCCCTGCTACTAGGAAGCTGTTTTTCCCGTTTTTTTAAGTTGTGTGTAAATGGCAGTTAGTTTGTATTTAAGCCTTCCAAAAGTAAAGCATTCAAGACTGATTAACATAAGACGAGAATTGTAAAACTTCACAGGCGGATCTTTTGTCTAGCATTAATGCAGCCTTCTTTATAGACATGACCCTCAGACAAAGAAATGGATGCTTCTTTTTAACTGTGTGCTAACAGGAAGCTCTTGTCCCTAAAGCATGGCGCATCCATAGTTCCCAAAAGAAATTAAGAAATTAGCTTTGCCTGTATGTTCTATTGTGTTTGTGTCTTGCATATGAAACATTGAATTAGATTACAATTCACATTTTTGTTGGTCAGATCGCAGGACAGTCCACTTTTGACTGAACAAACTGAAACAAGGTGCCTTTATACAATCCAGTGTTCAGTTATGATCTGGAAAATTAGCTTCACAAGTTGTCACATATGGCATATAGATAATGCCTCTATTGCATATTAAAAAAATTCAGAATCTGTAATGCAAAAATAAATTTCAGTTGAGGAAGTTTCATGATCATGATATATAATATGTAAAAAATTGCATCAAATTCAAAACAACAGATTAAAAATGACAGCTACATTTTCACACCTGACACATTATCATCATAATATTTTTATGAAACAGACTTTATTTCAGTGCTTTTGTAAAAGTAAATGTAATATAGACAATTTACAAAACATTTTTTTATAAAATGACCATAACTTCAGAAAACCATAAAATCTGACCTGATGTCTGTTATGTACGGAGCCCCTCTGATGACATGGTCCAAAAAATAAATAAATTGTGGCCACAAAATACTACTTCGTGCCCTCGAAATAATATAACGTGCGAACGAAATACTTATTTGTGGCCACGAAATACTATTTCGAGGGCACGAAATAGGTATAACGTGGCAACGAATTACACATTTGTGGCAACGAAATAGATGACGTGCGCACATCATATTGATACAATTCCTGGACAGTTGCGTAGAACCATAGGCATAAGAGTAGGCTAAACCTATACACCATGTACAGAGACAGTATGATTGAGTTTTATTTTACGGTTGGGAATGAGCTACAAATGCATTTAGAAAAGCCTGGCAATGCAAGGAACCATTATTACAGAGAAACATTTAAACAGGATATTGAGAGCCCAGTTGTTTTATAAACGCAAGTACGATCTGGACGCCGGGATAGATTTTATTGTGAACCAACTGCAAGGGCCTGGGAAGGATCACGGTTATCGGTCAAGTGTTTCGTGGGCACAAATAAGTATTTCGTGGGCATGTTATACCCATTTCGTGCTGACGAAGTAGTATTTTGTGGCCACAATTTATTTATTTTTTGGACCATGTCATCAGAGGGGCTCCGTAGTTATGTACTGATTCATGAAATATGGAGTCAATGTGAGGCCAGTTTCATTCTCCTGATACACACAAAAGCACTTTATTACAATTTTGGTTCTACTTCCTCACGCCAAAGTTCTTCCCCACCGAGTGACTCAGCGTAAAGAACTTGAATTGATTTCGTTTACATACTGCAACACACACACACACACACACACACACACACACACACACACACACACACACACACACACACACACACACACAAGCCCGTTCAGCTATCTTAGTGAGGACCTTCATTGACATAATGGTTTCCCTAGACCCTTACCCTAACCATTAAAAATGAATGCCTTACCCTAAACCTAACCATAACTTAATTGTAACCCTGACACTAAAACCACATTTGAGCCTCAAAAAGGCCTTCAAATTTGTGAGGACCGGTGTGTGCGTCCTCACAAGTGCCTGTTGGTTCTCACAGGTATAGTAGAATGCAGATTTCGGTCCTCACAAATATAGCTAGACAGGAACAAACACACACAAAAAACCTACTCTAGCATCAGCACACCCAGCAAACCCACATTTCAGTGTGGAAATTCTCTCTTCTTACAAAGCATCCACACACAAACCAGCTGTGGCCGTGCCTAAAGTCCTCTATAAATAATGTTGCCTCTCTCGTTCTGTCTCTCCCTCTCTTTCTCATACACACACACACCCTTTGGGTTCTGTGTGAGTAGTCTTTAAACATTTAAGAGAGGGATCCTGCACCAATCTATCTCTCTCCTCCCTCCACTGCTCACTGCCAAAAGCCAATACCACGCACAATCTCCTTCAGCATATTAAACACTGCCACTGCTGATGCTGTACACAGACGTGAAAGTGTGTGTGTATGTGTATATGTGAAATTATTCACTCTCCGGCTTCCATTTATCCCAAGCTGTTTACTGTTGCTGTTGTTTGTCTGCAGGCCATTTTGTAATGGACTGTTCCTTGGAATATTTACATGACAATATAGACTTCAAGTCTCCAACTGCCTGGGATTTGGTCCGCTGTCAGTTCATTTGAGGTATCAGTTTACAGGTCTCAAAGCGTGAGAATATTCAGAATTTCAACATTTTTTTGAAAGAAGGGAACTTATGAAGCCTGCTCTGTGTTCATAGTTTGATTAAGAAATTGCTCAAAAAAGCACCAACTCTACTTACTGGAGGCTTGATCTTTTGACAGCACTAATGTCCAAAGTTCATTCTATAAGTCAGCATAGCCAGATGACTTTCTGTGTTGCAGTTTGTAACGTATCGTTTATTGTCTCTCGAATTTACTTTAACAAAAAATGTCCCAGACTGAAGAATTTGCTGTCCTTACTATCATCACACATCTTGCGGACATTTTTAACGATTAGAAGTTGTTTTTGGGACAAAATGCTGTTGAATAGATTTCCAATAATTAAAATAAGTCATGTTTTATTTTGGCCGCAAACTACAAAAAAGATTTTAAAATGACTTTCTGAAAAGGGACAATAAGTGGATTAGATGACACTGATTGGCATTGGTGGGTCAACTGTTGACCGTATTACCTGAGTCCTCTTGCAGCTTCGCCATGTTGGGACCACATTTGTCATGATTCCTGTTCAGCTGTGCAGCAGGTTACACTTCTGATTAAAGAGGATGAACACCAGATGTGACTCTTTTGGCGTGCTGGAGGCTTCTAATCAAATTACTTTGCTGTTGATCAATTGATTGCGAAATGCTATTTGCAGCACTTTTAATCAGTGAGCGACAATTTAAATAGAAGTGAATGGGTTGACGTAGGATTGAGCTGATCTTGAGGAAGCACTTTCACATATTACATTACGTCGGGCGCAGCCTGAAAACATTAAACAATCTTCTCCTTGGCACAGCTTCTGTTTACCTGGTACACTGGGATCCATTTCAAACATCCCAAGTGGCCTTCTGGCTTAGGAGAAAGTTCCATTAAATGCTAAAAGGGCCTAGTACAAAAAGTTCAGCTGGCATTAATCCTGCACACTTCCTCATCTACTCACTGAAGTTTTTTTGACCTCACACTCTTTGCTTTTATCTGCACACAGCCGCACTCCTCCACTGTAACTCTAGTACTGCAGATAAGATGCAATGAAATTTTAATGATCCCCTTGGGGAAAGCAAGTCATTGCTTGAGCAAATACAGTACTAACAGGGCAGAGTGTGTAAATAGAGCAAAATAGCATCATGGAAACATATAAAACCAACATCCATCCATCCATTCGCTTCCGCTTATCCTTTTCAGGGTCGCGGGGGGCGCTGGAGCCTATCCCAGCTGTCATAGGGCGAAAGGCGGGGTACACCCTGGACAGGTCGCCAGTCTGTCGCAGGGCTAACACATAGGGACAGACAACCATTCACACTCACATTCACTCGCACATTCACACCTAGTGACAATTTGGATTAATCAATTAACCTATCCCCACAAGCTGCATGTCTTTGGACGGTGGGAGTACCCGGAGAGAACCCACGCAAACACGGGGAGAACATGCAAACTCCACACATTTCATGGAATATTAAAGTTGAAAAGCAAAGTAGAAAGAATAATGATACTAATAGAGAATAATGAAAACCTTTTATATTTTACTATTAAATACATTTTTTTTTATCCTGCATCATAACTTCAATTCAGTTTTATTTATATAGTGCCATAACACAACAATGGTTACCTCAAGGTGCTAACAATAAATGATACAGAGAGAAAATGTCCAACCAGTTTGTACCCATTATCTATCATTTATGGAAGCTTGTTTCCACAACTGACAACGTTTTGGGACGTTATCTTAAGATTTTTCATCTGAGCATCTCAAAATTTTGACTTAAACTCAAATGTGCAAGAAAAAAACTTAAGTTTGAAAATCAACTATTGAATCAACTTTCAGTAATTAAGAAATCCGTGTTCTAGACTACAAACTTCAGCATGGGAGCCGTGTCTGATAAAATCCTCTCCTTATAGATCTGCATTGGTCTCCCCTGGCTCTCAAAGGGGGAAAATTGCTAAGAATATTTTGAGCTCTCCACAAAGGTTATAATCGCAAAGGTTGTATGCAAACCTCTGTGAAGTTTGTAAAACACGTTTGCATCTACTGCTCAGTTGCGTACAGCTGGAACCACTGCAAATCAAGAGTAATGTGGTACTGGGACACATGTACCTTGTGTGCCAGTACCAAACCATTGCCTTGAACCTTTCCTGATAGCTCTGTAGTCAAGTTAATAAAGAATTTTCCATCTACAGTCTAATCTGTTCCCTCCTGTTGTTTTCATCAGATACTACTTAGTTCTTATGATACAAGCAGGTTTTTACCACTTCCATTTTTAAGCATCTCATGCCCCCCTCCTATATTTCCCAAAGTGATAATATCCCACTTAGCCGAACATTTGAGTAGTTGAATGAATCCGGTGTGAATGCAGGTATTATTGTTTGATAATTGTCAACAGTGGTGCGTTCCCCAAACTGAGCGTCATATTCTATTTTGAGTAAGATGCCAGCAGAGCTGGTTTCTACTAACAATGCTCCACCTGTTTTGTTTTGTTTTCTGCAGACCCACACCATCTTCTCCCTGCTTGGCCTCGACCACGCCTACGTCACCAGCATTGGACGCCTTATCGGGGTGGTTTCCCTTAAAGAAGTAAGCGTCTCTTCAAGTTTCCCTTTGGGCCGTATGTTCATGCTGTGCAGCTTTAATTGCTTTATTAGCTTGATGACAATAACAATAACAATAATAATAATAATAATAGTAATAATAATACATTTTATTTATAGAAACCTTTAAAGACCTCCAGGGTCACCTTACATTAATATAGCAAAAAAAAAAAACATATACACAAACAAAGTAAACAAATAAAATGAAACTATAAAACTAATCAGGTAACAAAAGACCAAGTTATAGTGACAGCATGAGTTCTGAACAGATGGGTTTTCAGACCTGATTTAAAAGTAGAAAGAGAATTTGTAGTGTGGAGATCTGGTGGAAGTAGATTCCAAAGTCTTGGCGCAGGACAGCTAAAAGCTCTGAGACCCGTGGCAGTCAGGCGAGCACATGGAACAGACAGAGGTGAGTATGTATGGAGAATAGGGCTGCCACAAACGATTATTTTGATAGTCGACTAGTCACCGATTATTTTTGCGATTAGTCGACTAATCAGATCATGCATCCATTGGACGTAAAACATACAGCTTATTGCACCAGCAGCATCTGCTCTTATACAACTATCATTAGCTTACAGCTTTAAGTGTTTACGGTATGTGCTAACTAAAAATAAAGACAAGATGATAGTTTATTGAATTTTAATGAAATTTCCAGATTGTTTCGGTGAAGTAAACTCCTTGCAGGATGACACCTGGGCTCTTAACCTGAGGGGAAGGTGTGACAACAGAGTTATCAATAGATGAAAAACCCTTGGATTTAATTTCATGGTTTCATCCCTTCTGAACTTAAAATACATTAGAATCCATTTTTTCTGTTCATTTCTTTGACACCCAGCGTCATGTGAAAAGTCATGACTGTCGTCATTTCCACAGATGGTTTGTTCACCGCTTTTAATAACTGTAAAGGCACTGTCAATATCATCAGGAGTGCTGTCACCGTGCTGTACACACACAAATGATGACATTCAGTCATCATTAATGATTCCTCCTCCTGCTGTCTGTTATGTACTGTGACAGACTAAAGGCTGCTTAATATTGCTGTCTCTATCTATTGTCATTCTGTCTGTTCTCTGCCGCCTCTCCTGCTCCCTCTCTTTCCATCTCTCCTGCCTCATAAACAACTGAAAACGCTTCACTCTTTGTGAATTGGCCAGGAAGTGGAGAGAGGATTGTTGCTAAGTGCAGTGCTGCTTGCCTGTCCCTGACATTTAGGATTTTTTGTTCTGTGTACCAGCCTTCCCATTCTGCCTGTCTGTCACACAAACACATGGTTACATCACAGCGTCTCTGCTACATATGAATAACAACTATTTCAGGGACGTCAGTGCGTTTCATAGTTTTATTTCAGATCCAGAACACACGTACAGGACTCTTTTCAATGCTGCCACGTGACCTGTAGCACCCAAATCACATCCATAATTTTGTTAATAACACCAATAATAAATAATAGAGGATGTTAAACACTATGATTCCTATATAACAGGAAACCTGTTGTTTTTTTTTTAAACCTACTACTGATAACCTTTTAGGTACTGGTTGAGTTTAATCACAGTTATTCTGTACAGTGTGAAGCATAGAGCAGGATTTAGAATATTAATGAACTTCAGATACACAAGGTCAAAACTTTGGCATATAAATAAATTTAAAAGGATATTGTAATGTACGTTTTCAATTAAATTAATATGTGCAAAATATCTGTCTGTTGTTGCAAACAACAACATGAAATATTAAAAATATAAATGTAAAATACATGTATGTATGTATGTATGTATGTATGTATACGTGTGTGTGTGTGTGTATATATATATATACATATACGTGTGTGTGTATATATACATATACGTGTGTGTGTGTATATATACACATATACGTGTGTGTGTGTATATATACACATATACGTGTGTGTGTGTATATATACACATATACGTGTGTGTGTGTATATATACACATATACGTGTGTGTGTGTGTATATATACACATATACGTGTGTGTGTGTATATATACACATATATATATATATATATATATGTGAATATATGAATATTATAAGTTGTAGAGCCATTTCTTTCTCTGCCTTATCCAACTTTTTGTTAGTGCCATTTTGTTTGACCAGATAAAGACCTCTCAGGTAATACCTAAAATAGTCTCTGACAATCATTGGTTTTATGTAATACAATGTTTTCCTGAAGATTTGTGACTGCAGAAGCATTTTTGTCAATTACTGCTGTGAATGTGGCAAGCATTATAATCAGGAGTGCACATAAGTGGTCCGCAGGTGCGCATGCGCTGTCAAAATAAAAAATGTGCACCAGATAAGAAGTTGCAACGCGCGTTTACGTGCATAAGATTTTCTGGAGGAGGACAGACATTTGTTTAGAACTCTTAAAGATGTCGAAGAAGCTCCTTTAAGCAATTACTGTGGTGTTCCTCCACCTCCAAAGAAATGTCAGAAGGAGTCCGAACCACAAAAGAAGTGCGTATTCTCGGAAAAGTGTTTGCAGGAGGTGAGCTGGCTTCAAACAAATGATGAACGCACAGAGATGTGGTGCAGAATGTGCCGTGAAAATCCCACTCTAGCGGACAAAAACAGTGCCTTTCCCTTTATTACACTTTGGAAACGAGATTTCAGTCCAAAATAGGAAACAACCTTTCCATCAGAAGTACTGATATAATCTTGCAGTGTAGAGCAAGACCACTGTGGTCAAAATTTAAAGCTATATTCAGCACAGTCTAATGATAACAGTGGGAGGGAGGGGGGACCTAAACACCAAACCCAAAGAGTGTATCTTTAATGTACACTATTCTCCCACAAAGTAATCCTTGAAAGAAATTGATATATTTTTTAAAGGATTTTAAAGGTTTCCAAATCTTTTTTTTTTGTTTTTTGTTTTTAAAAAGAGAGAATTTAAACCCAAGTGATATATTTTGCTTTTATTGAGGATGTTTAATTAGCATAGAAAAGTTAAAATATATTGATATAAAATTATTATTAAAAATGTGTTTTTCAGTGTATTACTGTACTGGTACAGTAGAAAGCAACACATTATATAAAGTTCTTGTAATGAGGGTGATGATGTATGAATTTTGATGTATGATACAATTCCTTAATGCTACAATCATATAAAATTCTGCACGCTTCTTTTGACATATTTCTTACTGTTACAATTTAGAAATTGTTTGTGTACTACTAAGTTGGACATTCCCCTTTTTTTTTGTTTGTTTGTTTTTTGAAAATTGATTTTCCCTCAACTCAGCTGCCAGAGGTTTCTTTCTCCCCACTGTTGCCACTTTTGGTATGGCTCTCTAATGTTTAAGGATCTTTACTTTATGATATACTAAAGTCTCCTTACAGGACTATAGTGATGACCTGCTGATAAATAATAAAATTGCTGTTGAATTGAGTATAGTAGTGCTGTCCAGATTGTTGAAACTGGGAGCCTTAAATTGCGCTGTGAAGTTCTGGTCACACACACTTCCTGCTTCCATTCTAACTACCTTATCTTTCTTCAACCAGCTCCGTAAAGCAATTGAGGGCTCAGTGACTGTGAAAGGTGTAAAGGTGCGCCCCCCTCTGGCCAGTTTCCGGGACAGCGGCACAAGCAGCAGCGAGAACGAAACCACCGAGCTCCACAAGCTGTGGGACCGCCACAAGAGCATGTCGCTGCCACGCGAAAGCACCCCCTCCGAGTCCCAGTAAGGGAAAAGGTGATGAGGAAGAAGAGGAGGAGGAGGAAGATGAAGCATTGAGGTTTTTAATCACTCAAAGCTACAAACATGCAAAAATCCTCAGGGCTCAGGATCAACAGGCCAGCTTCCTCTTCATCTCTCGCCTCATCTGCTCCTCTCCCTCCTTCTCCGCTAACTTCCGTTCTTCCCGGACCACCCAGTGCTTTCTCCAGGAGCCTTGCACTGACCCAGAGAGACACTCCACCAGAGGAGTGGAACAAAACCTGTGCCCTGCTCTCCATTTACCCTTGGGAACCCACAGCAGAGCCAGTGTGGATTAGGGTTACCAAGACTGGGTTAAAATGAAAAGGGATTGTTTCTTTTTTTTTTTTCTCTCTCTTTTTTTTTTTTTTTTTTTTTTTAGCAGACTTTGTTTAGCTTGTGTGTCTTTTGATTTGGGATCAAAGTTTCAACCTGCAGATGTAATCCTTTGAATGAGTCTTCCACTTAAGGTAGAGAAATTCAGCAGTGGTGACAAGGAAGGCTACTGTAATGTGTGCATGTGTCTTTTGAAAGCGTGTGTGAGTGAAATGAGACAATGGGTGTGCGCATGAAGAGGGAGGTAGCAAAACGACTATATCCTACAGGTTTTTTCTTTTTAATTATTACGTCTCAAGAACACATGTTAGACTTTGTTTTCCTCATTTATCTGAATGATCAGGTGGTCTGGGTTTGACTGGAATTGGCCATTTCTTTATAAATTACACTGCAGTTTGTCCAGTAGTGGACTCATAAGGGGAGAGATGCCTTAGCTTTTCTGTGTTTTCTTATTTCCATTGCCCCTCTTTACCTCTTCACTTCGAGTCTTAATGGTCAGGTTGAGAGCAGAGCCTATGCAAGCAGACTTGCCTGTTGGCAGCGACTGAGGCACCTGTAGCCCTTTTCATAACGTCCTTTCATGCTGTAGCCGCAGCCTTCACACGCACATAGAAACACACACCAACATTTTAACGGCGATGCACTTGGCGAGTCAAGGTTTTCTGCTTATCTAAATATAGCTTTTAATAAGTGTTCTAGAGAGGGTTGGGGCGGATGGAGAGGGCAGGAAGCAAGTGAGGGAGGGAGGAAGAGCATGGAGCAAATGGATGGCTGAAAGAATGAAGCTGTCATTACCACAGCTGCTCTGTGCTCTCTCATCAATCTGCCTTTGAGTGCCATGTAAGTTTGTATCAGAGACATAACCCCAACAGATAAATGGCGGGGTGGTTCACAGGGTGAGGCGCACAGTGCAAGAGTGCCCAATGATGACGTGCGGGCATGTGGGAACCATGACCAACATTAGTAGTAACATTATTTATTAGAAAGCATTAAAGAAAATCTATAAGTGACCAGCAGAGAGCATTCACAGATTTAGTTTAATCATTCATTCCAGTTAATTTACCAGTCCCATCACCAACTTCATCACCACTGGAGAAACTTCCGAGTACTCGTCAGCTTACCTGATTCAAATTTGGCTGATCTCAACTTCAAGGTTATCTTCTCGGGCACCACTGGACCATGTTCAATTCATATAGATTACCATGCCCAAGAAGATGGTTCATTGACTTGAGACCTGCCGAACTTTAAAACGAGTTAGTTTGATCACACCTCGTGTTAAACCAGAAACCTGATGCGTCAATGTTTTAACTGCAGTGGGGTTTCTGTCATGACAGATAACGATAAAGTACTTTGAGTTTAATAATTCATGTCTGCCATAATGCTCCAGGCTCGGCTGCTCATCAACAGTAAAACACTGATCTGGTTTGCCTAGCGTCTAACCATCTTTTCCCTATATTTGTTACTTATTTTTGACTACTGACAAACACATCTTTTAAAGACATGCTCCTTTTTTTTTTTTTTTACTGACACTACTTCCTGCAGAATTGGCCCTGAATGCCTTAAAAATGCACTCACACACATATCCCTCCAAGTTCACTTCTGTGTGCGATGTGTTGCATGGATTTTAGTTTATCGGGTCGTGTCTTGTCTTGCTGCACCCAACCCCCCCATGAATTGAAAACGCACACAGTGACATAGCAGCATGCCTTTGCATGAGAGAGAGTGCATGTGGGGGGGAGTTTTCTATGAACATAACGTACCAAAAAAACCCAAAAAAAGTCAAAAGCTTGACAGGAATGAATATGGATGGAGTGAATGAGGTTTGCCATCATGTGCCTGTGATTTTTGTTCTCTTCGATGGCATCTTCCACTCATCCAGCGAGCTTTATTCAGCCCCTGATTTTAACCCAGGATGGGGGGGGGGTTTTGGGTTAGCACATTTTTACTTAAAGATTAATATATTTAATTTCATTCCTGTAATATAAAATCATTATTGAATGTCTTAACCAGTCATGACTTGTTGGAAGGAAATTTGGGGCTTGTTTTATATTTGTCGCATTATGTTGATTTTTAAAGTTAAAGTTTCTTTTTGTTTTTTTTCCTTTTTTCTAATGCAAATTTTAACGTGATGTTGGATATATTTGTATTATTATAGACTTTTTTGTCCTTTTTTTGTAAAATGCAAATAACACTAACTGGGGGACTCCTGATGGCGAGAAAAATGGAAGAAATGTAATCACGAAGCCATGAGACGTTAATGTGGAAGCATGCGGTCCACTGTTGACATGTTCATTTCACAAGTGCCTCCTCTTCTTTAACAGCGGGAATAAGCAATTGATACTTGGGGGGGGTGTGCGGGTGTGTGCGTGTACACAACCAGAGAACCTGCTCTGTACACACAAACAGACACGCAAATACAGTATGGGAGTGGGGTGGGTGAGGTTTCAGAGCATGCGAGTGCACTTATCTCCATGGAACCTTCCCCAACACCCCCATTACAGCTCACCCGGGTGGGGGGGGACAAGTGACCGACATCCACTGATTTGGTTCTTTTCATTTGTTTGTGCTTTTCATCGATTTTCATTATTCCAGCTCCTGCCGCAGCCTTCCTTGTTTCCGCCGACATTTTCACTGCGTTTCATCTCATTTTGCTAGCAGGCGGACCCAGGCCCAGCTACATGCATATTTATTAGCCAGTGCTAATCAGAGTACAAGTAGTACTTTTCTTTTTTCTCCCCTCCTCATTTTGTGTTTTGTTTTTTTTATGGTTGATCTATTTGTGGTTAATCAATTTGTGCAATAACAGTGGTTCATCTCACTTTGTAACCCAGTTTGAATCAATGGCGTGAATGCGGTATAACCTTATTTTTGTAAAGAAACCTGAAAAGTGTAAAAACATGTATGTGTAGGCAGAGAAGCTACTCTCACACGGGAGCTACTGTGTGATGAAGCGATGATGGAATTAGGGGGTTGTAACAATCCTGAAACCGACACAAAAATCCAGAATCTTCCATGTTCATGTACCATGATGCCACTGTGGAGCGGTTAACTTTTTAACATGCACTGAGTCACCGGGGACTTATCTATGTTTGAGTTTGGTTTCGTTTTAGCCACATGCTAAAAAAAAGTAAAAGTTAAAAAGTTCCATTTCAAATGAGGCATTGAGGAATTGCCACTACAGTGTTTTCTAAAAAAAACGTTTGCATTTGGGTGTTTCAAACAGGCAATAAGCTTTAAAAGAGGTGGATGTTAACCTAACCCTACATGATTCACCAGTGACCTGTGGATGTTGATGCCTGGTTAAAGGTGACTGCTGTAACATTAGGCATGAGAATAATGGACTTTTTGCTTTGGAGACAAAATAATGGTTTAAAGCAAAGGTTTCCCAGAAGCTGCCATGAAAGCTCACTAGAATCTGTGTTGAAATATTAAACTGTTCACACCTTTAGGTCTTAAAAGGAAAATGGGTTTTACACCTTATTTGGTTTTTGGGAAACCTTTACCTTAAACATTAGCTGCCACTGACATACAAGCGCCTACCCCAGATTTTCCCTGATAAAACAGGCTCCTGGGAAAGTTTTATTATAAGCCCCTCTGTCCTCTCCTTCAGTCTGAGAGGCTTTGATAAGACCCCAATCCCCCATCAGCTGATGAGGGTAATCTTTTATCCACTCCTAAGGGACTGTAAATACTGGAGGCCTCCACTACGGCAAACCCCCGAGGGCCAAACCAGACCGAGCTGAACAAGATCCAGAGCTATTTTTTGCACCGAAAAAAACCCCCATTGTTTTTGTATATCAGTGATGAATAAATGAGATTTTAACAAACATGCCGATTTGTTGCAGACTTCTTTCTTTTTTCTGTCTTCTTTAATTTCTGCAGCTGCGCTTCTTTGCTGTCTGCTCTCTTTCCTCCCTTCAGCAGCAGCTGGAAGGCACCTGGAGTGTTGTTTTTGTCTTTGACTAATACTCCCAGTGGGGAGGCATACACACAGCGATGCCACTACGGTGTTCAATATGGTTCAGTCTGTCCCAAATCTTTTTAAAGCTCTGAGAGTTACAGGCTTCACGCTGCTTTGTCCAAACCCCTTTTGGTCAGCGGAGAGGTCTTCTAAGAACACTCACCTCCTGTCCTATGCACGCTTCTGTTCTAAAATCCAAACAATCACAGTCTACTTCATATTAATAGCCTCTCGTGGAAGAAAGAAACTTTTTATAATCCATATTAACATAGGTTTTCTGAATTAAACAAATACACATATTTTTGTTTGTCTCTACTAGCAACTTCAACACAAGAGCCAGAGTGAACTGAAGCTCTAGTACTTATAGCATTATAGAAAAACAGATTTCATTAACAGTATTAATGTAATCTGACAGCATCTGGTTTAAACAGAAAAACATGGAAAATTGTTTTCTCTGTGGTAGGGTCACAACAGGTCACTCTAAGGAGGGATTGGCATAAAAATCCAATTACTGCACATGAAAGACAGAGTTTTCAGGGTCTGACAACGATCCTTAAACCTGAATTGTTTCTGATGGCCAGCAGGGGGTAAATCTTGTGGCTTCAAAGAGAAAATCTATGGGGGAAAAAACAACTTTTCATCTTACTTGATCTTTAGTAACGCTTTTCTGATGACTTTAGCGTTCTCTATTATTGAACAAAGAATTTTGATTCATAAATTATGATCATTAGTGTTAAGAAGGCCATTAAATCAGGTTTTGCTTTAAGGGCAACTGGTTTCAAAGAGCTGAGATGTCAGTGTAGAATGCTCAGATCAAAACTCCCAAAATGAAGCTTTGCAGTAACCACAGTGGCACTGTGACTGTCCATCTTTTATATACAGTCTGTGGTTATGGCTCCGAGACTTCCTGTCTTTGAAGTTTAGTAACCAAAAAAGGAGAGAGGTCGTCCACCAATGGAAGGGACTTAATGCACAGAACAAAGTTTCAGGTGGTGATGTCCATCTTTTATATACAGTCTGTGTCCTTTGACCATTGCTGCATTCACTCACGGATGGACACGAGATGGGCACAAAGATTAAGAAGGATTGTGTGCCTGGTAGACATTTATAAGAGCAGATCTGTCCGTTGCAGCATTTTAACTACGCTGCATTTCCATTTCCACTGTTTTAGATAAGGGACGTGAAAAGGCTCCCTCAAAAGAAATGCCAATGATCTGTTCTTCCTTCTCAACACCACTGCTGTAGAACTGTAAACACGACATATCCAATGACATTAAAGTGGGTCAAGTGAGTCTGTTCCAGCACCGCAGCTCTAAACTGAACTAACAGCCTTCTGACTCTGCTCTTCCAGCGGGAGTCTTTGTTGCAACAGTTGGCACCATAATGAACAGACAGTACACACTTTTGTGCTTTCCTGCCCTCTCCTTCTGCTGCTTTCACATTCACAATTTGCAAACACACACACACACACACACACACACACACATCGTTTCTTCATTGTGTTGTTTTGGTGTGAAAGAGAGGGGAGCATCTGGACTGTAATGGGTGGGGAGTTCTGTGCTAAAAGCTTAATGAGCTAAACGAGTTCATCGGTTAGGTAGGCTGCAGCTCTGTTCCTCACTGAGTTTAAAGTCTGACACTCAGAACTTCTCCAGGGAGACTTGGGCTTGTTTACATGCGTGCATGTTTATGGAGATCATTTCATGCATTTTTTTTAACCCCAAATAATCTGAAATGCATTGACTGCAGCTGTAACAGAGAGACAGAGTTGAAAGAATAAAGTAAACTACCCAATGTTTCCTTTCATGATGAAACACCAGCGAATGGGGTAAAAAGCACTTGGGCAAAGTGCCATACATTCATGCTGACAAGGCAGATGTTCAAAAAAAGTCTTCTTGTAAGTTTTTACAGTGTGGGAACTTCCAAACTTTTTAAAACTGACTGATATCATTGATGGTATGACATGCAGTCATCCATGCTATGTTTTTTGTGGATCATCACTATCAATATCATCCAAAGTACAGTGGAAGCATTTACTGCTTCCACTGTACTAAAAGTGAATGTAACGAGTGTTGGCAAGCATGTTTTACCTCTAGTTCCTCTCAGTTCCACATATTCCACTCAGTAAGTGGTAGACGTGAAAACCAAGCTTAAATGAGCACGAACAAGTTCATATGTTGTTTTTAAAATTCAATGTAAATTAAGTGTTTTGTTCTCCTGCCCTTTGTTTGACTTCAAAACAGATTCTACAACAGACCAACTATTAAAGTAGACCTGCTGGTGATGGTTAGGTTTGTGGGTCGGGGATCTATGTAACCTCAAAGTTTTCTAAGACGTGTGTGTGCAGATTGCAGGTAGAGAATCTGAGCGAGACTGTGAGGTTGTTCTGAGAGCTGACGCTGCTTACAGTCAAGAAGGGAGACGCAGTGAGCACCACTCTGCACCATCTGTTTGTTCTCTGATCAGTGACAGACAAACCAACAACCATTAGACATTTTTGCACAAACACATATTTATTCCACGTCTAAGAAAAGACCCGATTTTGATACAAATTGGACAACAAAGATCTGCTTTAGTTAAACAGAATACGTTTAATTTACTCAATTAACATGGAAACACAGATTAGTTGAATCGTCTAAAAACAAGGATTCCTGAAGTCAACCATGAAGGTTTTGAACAGTTTACAACATTTTTAGAACAAACACCTTCAAACCAGTTTGAAACTTTACATCAGCAAATAATAATTCAATAAATCTGTCATCTTTTACTGCAAAAAATTGTTCAGGAGAAATAAATCTGCAGAGTAAAGCCAGCAGGTTTAGCAGAATAGCAGCACAGTCCCCCGTCTTCGTTTTGACAGGATACAGAGGGCCTCAGCATTGAGCTGGAGGTCACATGTGTTTTGGAAGCATTATGAGATCAGTACACGCCTCAGTGATGCCTATGAAACTGAGTTGAAGTGTAAAAATACAAAAGGTGCACAGCTGGACTGATCAAAGAGAGGAGCTGAGTGCTCTGTCAGACACATGTGAGCCAGATGATGGTGCAGCTCTGAAAGTACTGTCCCATCATCCTCCGCTGCTATTAGCAGCGTGTCTATTCACTGCGCTTCAGCAAAACAACACAAAGATGAGCTTTACATTTTATATCATCCAGTTTTGCTTTGTTTTTTTTTCTGGTTTTTGTGATTAAAAACAACACTGGGAAAACAAGAGTTGCTTTATTTGACTAATTACCACACGCCTGATAACAATGGGCTTCCCTGGGCTTTTAGTTCCTGCAGCACCTGAACGTTCCTGAAGGGTTTGGAGACTTTTGTTTGGAAAGTAATGTAAGAAAACATGATGTTAACATGAACTTAATAATCTGCCTGATACATTTGTGGGATTGTTAATGCATTGTGGAGTGTTTAGCTTGATCATCCTGGTAGAGGGGTTGAGACAGCGAGAGATTTACTGGAAGCAAATGATGTGATTGCAAGCGAAAAGAGGAAGTGGTGGTGCCACGTTGTGCTTATACTATAAATAATGATTAATTAGTTACTCATTTATATAAATATTCAGTGCACATGGCCACACAATTTGCATAAGCTATAAACAACACTATAAAGTTATAAAAGATCATTTAAAACTATGGGAGAAACCACGAGACACACTATGTGCGCACAGGTCAGAGGTCAGCCCCAGTGTTGTAGACTGGGATACCCAGGTGCTCCTTCCCAGTGAGTGCTGATTTCCGGCGAACACTCACCACCAGGGTACCGTCAGGGTTAAGGGTCCCACTGACTGACAGGGGGTCCATATCCTCAGGGAACAGGGACTTATGGGTGAACGTGTCACTGATGCTGCCATCATCCAAAACCTGAAGGATGGAGATGAAAAGTCAAACAAGGGATTGACCAGCTGGGAATGAAAAGGAAGAAAGGGCACAGAAAAGTGAGAAGAGCAACAAGGCCAGGGAAGGTGCTGGGGTGCAAAAAGAAGGTGAGAAGCAGTGAAAGAGATGGAGGCAAGGATTGCTGCACTGCTCAGCTGGTGAAGAACAAGCGGGGGGAAACAGAGGCAGAGGAAAATGAGCACTGACTGCTGCTCTCTGAAGATGCTTTTTCACTGTTATAGGGCTTCGAGGCAGGTTGAACGCTTGTGGATTTTTGCCAATTTGCCTTCTTAACCCTGTTAAAATGATTTTCCTGGACTGCAGCGAAGGCTCTTCCCACTTCTCCTTCTGCTCTCTCACCTTTTAAAAATGATTAACATCAAACTGTGAGGGGAGGCGGAGAGCGAGAAAGCCGCAAAGGCACCAAGCTCCAGCTTGTCTGCAGCTCAACAGACCACATCCGAGTCCGATGTGATGGATATATCTACATATATATTCGTATCTGTAAATGAAAATATATGTAGTGTGTATATATTGTTTTTTGTTTTATATGTCTGAAACAAATACAATACAATACAATACAATACAATACAATACAATATGACAGCGGCCCAGATAATTTTACTATACAACGGTCAGTCATTTTTGATTTACGAGAAGATGCTGTCTTCTCATAAACATGTTTTATTATGATAAATTCTGTTTTTTCACAATCTTTTTTCTGGCTTAAGAAATTATTTTATGTCTGCTTATGATCCCTCGTGTGATTTAATGTAGCACTGATGGTGAGACACAGATGGAACGGCCAAGCTTTGTTGGTCTAGGTGCATCTCTGCACTCCCACAGTCAGACAACAAAGTATTAACTCCCCACTTTTACAGCCTATACCACCAAGAGAGCACCAAATCAAGATTAACATCTTTTACGTGTTACATATGTGATTTTTTTTCTATTGTGCCTTTAACCATAATACTTTTATAAATGAGATGA